CGACGCTGTTCAGGCTTCCTTCCCGACGGTCCAGCTGTCGGTTAATGTTGACGGCTTTGGCCTCATGAGACGGGGCGCAGAGTCGAGAGTGGTGCAAGGCATCGTCGGTGCGGGCAGGAAACTCCACAGCGAGCCCAAGGCCGTCGACCTTAGGATTGCTGTCGACAAGTCCCGTGTGCTTGGGAATTCGCCTGCCGTTCGAGCTTCGATCGCTTCGAAGCTCCGTGGCCTCCAACCCCTGCCCGTTAGAGCTGAGAGAAACCTTGGCGTGGATTTTTCCTCTGGGCTCGCTGGAGGGGGCAAGGCCACGTCCGCCTCCCGTGTCAAGGCCATGGGCAGGAGGCGGCAGCGCATGCCGATCCTCAAGGGCCCCAAACCTCGTCGCCGCGTGCTTGGACGCATGGCTCGACGTGCCCTGGAGTCCCCCGTTTTGCATGGGCCCGCCGTGGTGGGCACCAACGGGCAGGAGTTAGAGGTTCTTAGAGGTGCTGCTGGTAAACTTCAGGACCATCGCGTGGATGGCAAATCTCGCACCCTGGCCTTGTTGTTGTCCCCTGTGCCCCGTTTGGACCCCATCTTTAGGGCCGCGTGGTTGCCCGTTAAAGCCTTCCTCCACGCTCTGTGGCACTCTTGGTTTCCTAGGGGCGCCCTGGACTTCGGCCTCCGTGAGGCCCATGTTCGGCTCTCGGTCCTTGAGCGCCCTTGGTCTTCCATCAGGGGCCCTTTCAGCGCGGTGTGGGCTACCCTTAAACGTGCGGGGATTACGGCTACCTCGGCTACCTCCTGGGCTTGGCCCGATGGGGCCGTCATCAACCCCATGGACTACTGCCCTGTTACGGTCCAGGAGCTCGTGCGCCGTGCCGTCGAGTGTTGGCAGTTCGCCAAGGTTGCTGACCACTTGGGCCCCCCTGAGTTTCGCAACGGTGTCATACTCAGCCCCCTGAAGGCCCTGCTCAGCACCAAGGGTAAGCTCACGGCACCGCAGAGAGGTCACCTGCGCAGCACCGTGGTTGGGGGACATTGGCCCCAGAAGCGTCAGTGGGCTGAAGGTTACGATACCACGCCCACGTGCCTACTCTGCCCCCGCGCCGAAGGCACGCTGCTGCACAGGCACTGCTCTTGCGTGCGCCTCGACAGCCTCGAAGGCTCACCTGCGTTTCGTGTCAATGCAGTGCGGGCGGCGCAGTCGCCGCTAACTCTCGTCTTTGCTGAGCGCTGTCTGGTCCCGTTTCCTGCACTCGTCAGGCCGCCGCCTGGGCGACCCGTGTGCTGGGGGCTTGGAGGGCCTGACAGATTCACGGGCGATATCTACCCTGATGGATCGGCTTTTGACGCTGAATATCCCAGGCTTGCGAGCGCGGGCTGGGGGTGCGTGGCGCTTCACCCCGATTGCCTTCAGGTTGTTTCGTTTTGCTCTGGCCCCGTGCTGGGCCTCCTGCAGTGCACTGATGCCGCCGAACTCATCGCAGTTATTCATGTGCTGCGCTTCGCGGCGCCGCCAGTGCGCATGGTTTCGGACTCAGCCTTTGTCGTGGATGGCTTCCACGAACGTGGACGCGAGGCCACTACTGCCTGTGTTGCAGCGCATGCTCGCCTCTGGCGGGAGTTCTGGCGTTTGGTGGGCGACTGGGGGGGGGGGGGGGGGGGTCGAGCTCTCGAAGGTCAAAGGTCATGCGGCCTTAGGAGAGATTCAGCACGGGCGCGCCACGGCGCGCCACAAGTTTGGCAACGTGATGGCAGACCGCGCTGCAAAGAGCGCCGCTGCCTTTGCGCGAGTGCCGCGGCAAAGCCGCGCGCAGCTGCAGGCTCGCTCCAAGGTTGTCAAGACCTGGGGAGACTGGATTGGCAGGCTCAGTGACGGGCTTGACGATTGTGGCCACCCCAAGCGGCACAATCGGGGCAGGCCGCGTCTCCCTCGGCTTTTCGTCGTGCGCAATCCCGTCCCATCTGACATTGCGTCTCGTGTGCTGGCAGCGCAGAGGCAGCTAGGGGATGGAGCGCGCAAGCATGAACTAGTTCGGATTGCGCTGTGTGAAGGTCCCACTGTTGTGGGCTGCGCGCGTTGTGGCAGCCTTGCAGTCTCTCGCGTTGCAGCTCTCAGCCAGCCGTGCCCGCCCGTGGCCACAGACCATGCCCTGAGAGGGGTTAAGCGGCTCTGCACAGGGGAGTTTCGCCTCAGCGCCAAGGTGCTACGGGTCGCAGCGCAGGCACCGCTCGCTGTGGCCGCCGTAGTAGATGTTCACGACGCCCAGTTGGAGGCTGGAGACGACAGTGCTGCTACTGATGTCTCGACCCAACCTTCGGGGGCTTCCCACCCGTTTGGCGTGGATGCTGGTGACATATTGGAGGAGGCAGGTGTTGCCACCTCGGAGGCAGCACCCCAGCGGCCTGCTGGCGGTGTTTCTATGATCTTGCGGAGGAAGGTGGTGTCGCGCCGTCGACGTCGTTGAGCGGGGGCGGAGGAGTTGTTTCGGACACTACCGTGCCTGTGCGCAAGCTGCGCACGCAGCGCACGGAAGCAGAGCGTGCTGCCATTGTTCAGCGGCTGCTGGGAGCTGCCAGTGGCCGCCCTCGTCCTCCTCCAAACGTTTTGCCCGATGTTCTCGAAATTTACGGTCAAGAACAGCCCGACCCCACCGTGGGGTCCCGCTCTGGGGGGCAGGTCGTTGGCCATCGGGGATCCTCCCAGTAAGGGAGATCGCCCCGTGGCCCTCGGCCCGCCCTCCCCTCTCTTTTCTTTCTTTGACGGGCTAGAGCTGGGGCCCACTTTCTGCTGGTCCCGCATGGCCCTCTAGCGTGCGCTGGCGGTCTGGCCGCGCGCAGTCCTCTGCCCGAAGTTGCCTCGCGGCAGATGCTTGGCCCACGCGGGCCCTGTCCGAAGTGCGTGGCTGAGGGCGGTTGCAAGGTGCGCCCTCAGCCACGCCATGTAACGGCTGTGGTGTCATAGACTCTGTGGCGCCTCAGGTTGTGCGCAGGAGGAGGAGGGGGAAAAGGAGGAGGAGGAGGAGGAAGTAGGGGAACGAACAATTTGGGGGATTGGGAAAGGGGGGGTGTACGAAGTCTGCTGCATGCAGCTGATTTTTCGGTCTCATCGAGGGGCCCGCTCCTCTATACATGGCCGCCTCCGGCGCCGGGAGGCGCCAGGAAAATCAGCTAATTACGCAAGCCGATTCTCACCCCCCCCCCCCTCTTTGCTATCCCCCCCTTTCGCCCGGCCCGATTCAAACGAGAATTCTGAGGTCCGCGCGGGTTTCTCGGGTCGGCGCCGGGGCCCCCTGGCGGCGCCTCCGGCGCCGCCCTTGGCGCGCCTCGCGCGCCAGGAAGGGAGGTCCAGCGCGGATCCAAGAAATCCGCCCAGACTTCTGAGTTTTTATGTGCATGCCATTTTTCGTTCCCCTACAAAGAGCCCTTGACCTTCATGACACGATGAAGACGTGGACTCACTGGAGGTCCCCGTTGCTGCATTAGGGATCATAATTCTCGTCCGTGTGGTTCGATGCATTTGCAGAACACACCCTCTGACCCTGATGTCCATTGCCCTCCAAGCGTAGGTCCCCTTCCAGAGGGTTAATGGTCCCAGTCTTGGTCAATCAAGGCCAGCCCCGCACTCCTCGTCAAACCGGCAGCGGTGGTCGTTCAGGCAGGTCGAGTCCGGCGGTTGGTAATGGGAGGTGGCCTGAAGGGGGGGTGCAGAGAAGGACTCCAACGGAGCCCTTGAGGGCTTCTTGTGGAGCAAGCAGGGGCCCCAAAGGGGCTGTAGACCCAATACTGCAAAGCGGGGTCGTATTGCAATAATAACCGCGAGGTTGTGTGTCGGCAAGTACAGCAATGATATCGTTCATATCCGCAATTGATGGCGGGAGATGGTTGCTTGGCGGAAGCCGCGGTGGTCCCTGCCGATACGCCCAAGCTCAAGGGTCCCTGAAAAGGATTGAGCCCAAATAAGCACAGCAAAGGCCAAAACACTCTGCATGTTTGCTTGCCTGGTATTCTACACTGCGTACAAATCAGCACGGACACACTATATACATATATATATATATGTATGTATATATATATATAGATCACCCGTGCAGAATTATTATGATATGTGCGTCTCTGGTTTTAGATCGTTTCGGCGTGTCAAATCTCACGTCAACCAACTAAGCTGAAACCGAGCGCGTGCTGCGCTCTATCCTGAAACCAGGCGTATGGCGCGCTTGAAAAGCGAGCCCGCGCTGTTCACATGTGCCTCGTGCGTTCGGGCCTGATAGGTTGGCTCTTGATGCTGCAATGCGAGGCGTGTAGCTCGCAGCACTGCCCTGATGGCACTGCCGTCAGATCGCTTGGTAAACTGATCTCCGAGCTGTTGGTTGGTGGAAACCCAAAACAGAGGCAGCTGGCTACGCTGATCGTCGGAAACGAATTCGTTACTTATTTCCTGTTCTGTTGACTCCTTGAGGCTTACTAGGTCTAGCAAAAGGCGCCGCTCTGACGGGAGCTTGGAATAACCGTCTTTGTGCATCGTACCGCACAAGCTTGCGTAATCTGTGACCTGAGCAAGCGGCAGCAAATTCGGGGGAATATCTTCTGGATGAGCATTCGGTATCTCAAGCGAAATGAAAACACAGCGTGTGGTCTGAGCACAGCGTAATGCGTCTACTGCTGACTTTGTCTCAGCTGCCAAAGTAGACCTGCAAACTCTCTTGATGGTGCCTGATCGCCAATCAACGATTCCCGCTCGCGCCTTGTCGCCGCACAACAGCTTGGCTCTGGGATGAACGTCACGTAGCCGGCCTGCGAGCGGATCTTGAGATTCTTGTCTTTGGTGCCCACGATATTGGTGAGTAACGTAGCTATGACGCCTTCAGGAGGCTCGTCAGCATTGGCCCGCCTAGCGTCGTGGCAAGTGTCCAGGCAAAGCGGTCCACGTAGCTTCGGGAATTCCAGTCCCACGTCCGCGCGTTTCCGCGCCAGCTTGATGAGCCGATTCGTTCGAGCAGGTCCTGGATGGTGGGCTTCTACTGGGTGCACTGTCCCATGGCCACTCCAGCTGACAGGTCTGGTCGAGTCTGCGATGAGAGCCACCCACGCGAGAGCCATCCAAGCGCTCCGAGGGCGGAGCGGTTGTCCGAAAACTCGGCGGGCGTCGCCTCCGCCGACAGCTCCGTCTTTCGCTCCTTGCTGGGCGCGATCTCCTCGATCGTGTTCGCGCGCTCTGTCTGGCGCAGGCGCAGGGCACCTTCCTCATCGCGCCGCGCCTGCTTGCCTCAAAAGGTGAATGGCAAACCCCTCCAGTCGCCCCACGGCGGAAGCTTGTAGAGCCTGTCGTACAGGGTCGGGTACTTGGGCGAGACGCTCAGTAGCAGGTCGTCCACGTGGGCGACCACCACCGCGCATGGCCCCCCGTGCTTGTCGCAGCCGTAGTACAGCGCTGGATGTAGCGAACGCTGCGAAGTCGGAACACGTAGCCACCTAGCTTCTCCACCGCGAGCAAGATGCGGTGGCTAGCCCGAAGACTCCCTTGAGGATCTTGATCAACTGCTTCGGGTGCATCCCAAGTCAGCCTTCGCGGGGCTGAGCCATGCGCAACTGCTGGCCGGGCTGCTCGTCGCCTTGCATGAAAGCCGCCTCCACGCCCGCTGCATATATCTCCAGGTCGAACCTCTGGCAGACGGTGAAGAACAGCATAGTCGAGTTGCGGGTGACCGTAGGCGCGTCTGTGCGCAGGACGTCCTGAGCGAGACGCGGGCCCATGCGACCCCCGACGCAGAGTCGGGCACTGGGTTTGACCGGCAGCGGGTGCTTGTCAGCCCGCGGCGGCGCATTCTTATCCCGGCGCACAAACGGGCTGGGCAAGATGAGGTTGGTCTTGACCTTGCCCCTGACCGCCTCGGACTCCTCGATGGTGAGCACCTGACAGGATCCGTACATCTGCCACTCGCTCCTTTGCTAGGCCGCCGCCTCTCGGTAGAGCTCCCTGTCGGAGTCCTTGATGGCCCTCCAGTTGATCTCCTTGTCGGCTTGCTTGCGATTGATCCTCTCGGTGACGATGGAGGTCTGCGTCGCTTCTCTGGGAGCCGACCTCGAATAGCGCCCTCCTGCTCGGATCCGGCGCTGCTCCGCCGTCGGGCACGGCCGCCCGATCGCGCGAGGCCGTCCTCGGGGGCGGTCCTTCCGAGCCCGCGTGCTCCTTGGCGGTCTGCAGGCGCTGGCAGGCCGGGCCGAGGTCGTCCGCTGTCCGTCCCGTCAAAGGTCGCTCGCCGTCGTCGGGGCTCGACGGGGCCGTAGGGCTGCCCCTCCAAGGCCGACTGAGGCATGTCGGCCCGGTCGGCGGGCAGCACCTCGATCTGCTCTTGGGGCTTCGGGTCCTCAGGAACGTTCAGCCTCAGGTCGTCGTCGTCTGGGCTGTCGATGAACTCCCGCCACGCCTGCTCCATCTCGTCTGGCTGGACCTCGGGCTTGCCCGGCTCGGGGCGGATGTCCTCCAACGAGGCCTCCTCCAGCTCGAGTGAGTCGCGAGCCCCGTTGAGCTCGGCCGCGGCCTGGCCGATCTCGCCCCGACCGTTCGGGAACCAGACGTCGTCTGGAGCGAGCGCCTTGATGTGCTCCGGGGCCACCAGCATGGCGCGCCCTCCCAGCGATGCCCAGGCGTTGTTGCCTTGGTGACCGATGACCACGCACGGCCCCCGCCAGATGCCCTCCTTGGCGTTGCGGTTGTGCTGCTCCTTCTGCTCCTTCTTCTTGACGTGGCGGAAAATGTAGCACATCTCGCCCACTGACAAGGGCGTGGCCACGGCGCGAGCGCGAGCCAGCATAGCTCGTCTCAGCTGGTCGTCATTCTGCATCCGCATGAACGACTCGCGCGCTGCCGTCCGAATGGCACATCGGCGGCGAATATTCTCGTCATTGGTGGCGAGACTGCGGGCGCTGTATTTGGCCGCGTCGTCCACCAGGTCGGCGGGCATCTTGGGATCGCGCCCCAGCGCCCACTGCGCGGGGCTGAAGCCGGCCCGCCGCCTCAGCGAGTTCTTCGCGCCTGACGCCATGATGCCCAGTGTCCGCATCTCGTCCTCGCCCCTGATCGACGAGTGATCGATCGTCCTTGCAGCGAGCTCCTTCCACCAGGCTCCCTGACGTTCCACTCGACCAGTGGGCCTGTCCCGCGATAGGTAGCTGCACCGTGACGAAAGATTGGAACAGCTCGCTGAGAACGCCGCCGAACCCCCTCTCCATGTCGAAGTGGGCTCGGTTCCGGACGCTGGCCCAGGAGGCCCAGCAACTCTCGAAGGCAGCAGCGAACTCCTGTCTGGTGTGGCGACCGATCAGCGTCGCGACGTGGAAGGTAGTGGTCAAGTCGACGATGCTGAAGCACCAGTAGCTCTTGCCGCCGACGTCCTTGAGCTCGAAGCAATCGAAGCCCACGTCGTCGCCGAAATCTTGCACGATGTGGAGGTGCGCTGGTCTCCTTGCGCTCGGGCGCTGCTGCGAGCGACGCCCTCCGCAGATCAGCCCCTGGACGGCCTGCACGGTGGCCGACTTAGCGCCCTTGAGTCGCAGACTGCGGCCCAAGTCTTCATTCGACGGATGGCCCAAGTTGACGTGGAGTCTCTTGAGCATGGCTAGCTCGGCTGGCTTGCAGCAGGCTGCTGCTTTCTTGGTGAAAGCGACCGCGCCGACCCCGATCCTGCCGTGCACAGTCTCGTCGGCCTTCACGTCGCGAGTGTCGGCGCAGTCGCCCCCGCCGCCCATGGGGCCTAGGCCCCCAATAGGCTCGCCCGTCTCTCCCAGGGACGCGGTGTCGTTCACGTAGACGGCGGCCTGCTCCTTCAACTCCGTCGCGATGAAGGGCGACGGAAGAAGCGCTGCAGTCCACCGGGGAGGCGCGAGGCCCACCCTGCTGGAGGATGATCTGCTCGACGATGCGCACCACCGCTCGGCAGAACTTGGCTGGGGAAACGCCAGACTTCCGCACCGCCACGTTGTCACCGAACGTCTGGTTGTGGTGCGTGCGGCTGCAGGTGCGGCGTAGCCGCTCGAACTCCTTGTGGGCAACGAGCAGCTTGATAGGGTGCTTGATGAGCCCCCCCGTCTTGTAGTGTTGAGCCCCGTACTCGCACATATCGCACCTCACCTGGTACACGCGCTTGTCGGCCAGTAGCTCCATCATAATACGCTGTGTTCAGATCCGGCTGGTGGCCGGGCTCTCGAGCGGAGACTTGGAATGGCCGCTCCGCGCGCCACAATCGCCGTAGCACCTGCTTCCCTTGCGGCGTGCGGAAATTGAGGTGCGTAATGTTCGTGTAGTAGTTGCAGGGTAGCTCGATCGACGGGAACTTCGGCCTCGATGCGTAGCACCGCTCGTACGTCATCTCGAGGTCCTTCTGCTTGCGGAGGTCCCAACCGTATTTACGGTCGATCACCTCCGTGGCTGTCATGTCGCGGCGCACTGCCGCCTCGGTAATAGCGCCCTCGCCTCCGAACACTTGCACGACGTCCACGCCGTGGCTCCGGGCGGTGGTTGATGTTCCTCATGTGGCCCGCCACATCCTGCGCGGCGCTCGTCGCATGCAGAGCAAACGGCTTGAGAGGTCGGGACAGCCAGTCCGCCGTGAGCACCGCCTGAAACGCGAAGGCGCTCAGCAAGCCCGTGACCTGGTAGAGTGGGCCGACGCGCTTGCCCTTTTTGATGCCTGGCCGCCGGCCCGAAGTTGGCGGCTGGTCCTGGCGGCTGCCGCCGCCTAGGCCTTGTCGTGCGGAGACGCGGCGTTCGTCTCCTGGTCGGTCTCGCCCGCCGTCTGGAAGCCGTGGTCGCTGGTGTCCATCTCGTGCTCCTCGACCGGCCTCGGGCGACGGTGGCCCGCCCAGCTGCCTTGACTTGCTGAGGCCCGCTGCATCGTCGCCGTCAGCGTCGCCGACTCGTCGTCCAGGACTACCTCCTCGGACATCGCCGCCTCGATGGTGGTCTTGAGTTTCTCTGCCTCGAGCCGCCTCACGCCGTGAGCCTTGACCCACCTGCCGACGCGCGCCTGGAGCGGGCTCGCCCGGCCGTTGTCCAGCTCCAGCACCGCCCAACGCGCGTGACCCAGGTCGTTCTTGAGCACCCAGCGGTAATCCGCGGTCGGGTACTTGCCGAGGCGCATCTTGTCATTCCCCGTGATCTGCGAGCTTGGATGGGCCACGTTGCTCGAGGCGCCGCTGACCGCGTTCTCGACCTTCCAGCCCTTCAGGCGCTGCCTGAGCTCCGACACGGCGGTGTGCTGGTCGAAATCGATTCCCTTCATCCTGCACAACTCCTGGAGCTCGTGCTTGCGCATCTTGCCGAGCCCTGGGATGCCCTGCGCCTTCTCGCCCTGGCCCTCGGCCCTTAGCGCGCGCAGGATGACGCGGAGCTGGTCGCACGTCGCGTCGCGCACATCCAACTCGTAGCTTGCGGCCCCCCATCCGCATGCTGGAGATCGCCGGCAGGTGGGAAGTACTCGGCGTCGGCGCACTCGAGCAGCTGGCCTCCGGGTTCGTCGCCCTGGGAGAGATGTCGTACATTTCCGATGCGACGGGGGCATGAATTCCGGCCGCTGGTTCGTGAAAAGCTGCGGTGGCTGGATCTGCCACGGCACGCGTCGTAAAAGCTGTTGGAGCCTGAGATGAGTTCGAGCCGGATGGCTGCGGTGATGATGTCGTTTGATGACTCCGTGCTGATGGCTGGTCTCGTAGCTCGCTACCGCTTGCTTGCTGCTGAAATCGGACACGTTGTGGCTGAGGGTCGCTGTCTGGTTTAGCTCTTCGTCCTGTGTGATCGGTTTGCATGATCTGTGCTGCGCTGGCGGACGTAGGAATAAATCCCAATGCCTCATCCTCCGACCCCGATGATGACTGACGCGATGGAATGCATGCGCGCATGGCCTGGCGCACCTGCTGCTCGAACAGTTCAGCGCTGTCGAGCTTGTCACAGTCAGTCTCCGACTGAGACTCGTCGGCCTCCGAGGCGACCCCTTTCTCGCAGCGCTCGGGCGGTGCCGGC